AGGATTTGTCACTCCGATTGTTGGAGAGGTATCTCTGGGCCCTCTCGGTAATGCACATCACTTAAGCCTTGCAAGCATTGCAACTAATGAGTTAGTTGCGGGATGATGTATTACAGAACGAGTAAAGATACTTGCCGGTAACGAGATTGAACTAGGTATTGGATACCGACGATCGAATCTCGGGCAAGTAACATACAGATGACAAAGGGAACGACGTATGTTGTTATGCGGTCTGACCGATAAAGATCTTCGTAGAATATGTAGGAGCCAATATGGGCATCCAGGTCCCGCTATTGGTTATTGACCGGAGACGTGTCTCGGTCATGTCTACATTATTCTCGAACCCGTAGGGTCCGCACGCTTAAGGTTTCGATGACAGTTATATTATGAGTTTATGAGTTTTGATGTACCGAAGGAGTTCGGAGTCCCGGATGAGATCGGGGACATGACGAGGAGTCTCGAAATGGTCGAGACGTAAAGATTGATATATTGGAAGCCTATGTTTGGATATCGGAAGTGTTCCGAGTGAAATCGGGATTTTACCGGAGTACCGGGAGGTTACCGGAACCCCCCGGGAGCTATATGGGCCTTAGTGGACTTTAGTGGAAAGGAGAAAGGGGCAGCACAAGGTGGCTGTGCGCCTCCCCCCTTCCCCTAGTCCTATTAGGACTAGGAGAGGTGGCCGGCCCCATCTCTCTCTTTCCCCCCTCAAGGAGTCCTATTCCAACTAGGATTGGGGAGGGGGGGATCCTACTCCGAGAGGGAGTAGGACTCTCCTGGCGCGCCCTATGTGGCCGGCCAGCCTCCCCCCTTTGGTCCTTTATATACTGAGGCAGAGGCACCCCAGAAAGGCAAGTTGATCCACGTGATCTATTCCTTAGCCGTGTGCGGTGCCCCAGCCACCATAGTCCTCGATAATACTGTAGCGGAGTTTAGCCGAAGCCCTGCTGCTATAGTACATCAAGATCGTCACCACGCCGTCGTGCTGAAGGAACTCTTTCCCGACACTTTGCTGGATCGGAGTCCGGGGATCGTCATCGAGCTGAACGTGTGCTCGAACTCGGAGGTGTCGTAGTTTCGGTGCTTGATCGATTGGATCGCAAAGACGTACGACTACTTCCTCTACGTTGTGTCAACGCTTCCGCGTGCGATCTAAAAGGGTACGTAGATCATACTCTCCCCTCTCGTTGCTATGCATCACCATGATCTTGCGTGTGCGTAGGAAATTTTTGAAATTACTACGTTCCCCAACACGGAGCACGGCCGGGGCGGGGCTCGCGCTCGCGCGGCCGGTGTGGAGCATGACCGGGGAAGGGCTCGCGCTCGCCGGGCGTACAGGCAGCAGTTGGGTCGGGGTCGAGCTCCAGCCCCACGCGCGCGGTCGTGGCCTGGGTGGGATGGGGCGGACGGGGCGGCATGGCCGAGGACGAGGACGACGCGGCGGACATGGCGGCTGCAAGCGCGGCGACGCCAGCTCCGCGCCATGCCGCCACTTCCCCAAGAGCACGAGAAGGCCGCGTCCCTCACCATTCAAAGAATCCTCTCCTCCTTGGCTCCGTCCCACCCTTGGCTGTCCACGGGATCTCCGGCCATGGCCGCCCTGCAGGGCCCGCTGCTCGGCGGCGGCAGCGTGTCATCGGACGTGAGCTCCCCGCTGGGCATCGCCGTGGCGCTGCTCGCCCTGGCCGGCGTCCTGCTGCTGCTCCTGGGCCCCGGCGCGGAGCCTGCCGCTGATCGGGGTCGGAGCTCGAGGGTGTCTGGCGCGTGGGAGAGCCGGCACGATGGAGTCCGGCGCGGCTGCGGTGGCCGCGGACGACGAGCGGTGCTCGGAGGTGGGCGCCACGGCGCTGCGGGCGGGCGGGCACGCGGTGGACGCGGCCGTGGCGGCGGCGCTGTGCCTGGGCACGGTGCACCCGATGTCGAGCGGCCTCGGCGGCGGCACGATCATCGTGGGGAGCTCAACGGCTGGGAACACTCTTCCCCCCCGGCGTAAAATATCCGCCGGTAGCTCCCCAGGCGACGAAAAAAATGCCTCCTGAGGAGCTCAACGGCTGGAGATGCTCTTAGGCTCAACACATTCATGGCAAGATACATCGACCTTTTTCTTTTCGAGGAGGGAAGATGCGTACACTTAGGGTTGGAAGGCATCGGAAAGGCCCATTGAGTATCAAGCAAGAATCTTTTCAAGCAAGCAAGATCCACCACCAATGGCCCGATTGTGATGCCTCCATGCCTTGTGAGAGCCGGTATGTTAGTGACAATGGTGGACAATGAGGTCCTAGTCCAGGAAGACGTTGATAGGACCCCCGTGACTCGAGTCTGGAGGGGGTACACATGTCAAGAAGAAGAACCTATGGAGTGAGTCATGAGATGGGTGTAGGTGTGCGTGGTCTATGGGTCAAGAGACCTGCTTGTAAATGTATGAGCATGGGATTACAAGAGGCTGGATTCCGTCCCTGTAGCTTATCGAGGAAATGAGAATTATCTGAGCTCTCATCTGCCCTCTCTGTATCCCATCCTTTCTTCTATGTTCTTCCCCTTCTCCGATTCCAAGTTACCTTCCGATCTGTTATTTCCCCTAATTCTACTAGCGGGCCATCACACGATCTGGGATTTTCACCACCATGAACAGGTTCTAACTGTTGATGTTTAATCTTGTTGTCCGGCGTGTTTCCTCTGTTTTCATCTACCTTCAGTGTGTGTAGTTTCTTCAGAGAAAAATTCTGATAGAGAGAGCTAGAGTTCAGATCACCCCTGATTTCCAACACTAACAAACTCTAAATAACACCAACCACCAAACTGAAGTATTGACTGATGCCAACCCACTTGCTGAGAGTGCACCACCATGAACAGGCTCTAAGAAGCTCTAAATAACACCAACCGGCTATAGGAAATAATAGTAGGCCACCGGTTTGTCATGTGATCAGCAAGGCTAATGTTCAAACATGCACATGCCAGTAGCAAACTTCCAAGCAATCTTGATCATGATGTCTTAGTGTTCAAATTGCAGGTATGTCCTCGTTTCCAAAAGCAGGAACTGAAGTATGAGTAATCGCAAACTGAATTTATGTATCGTTATGTATCAATTTCATGGTAATGAAATTGCGAGCGACGAGCTCCTCAGTCCGGGGAAAATATGCCTTTCTTGTGACATTTGCTGTTGCAAAACTTTCTATGTGAAAAACTAAAAACTGATATGCCCGCACGGCTACTATCATGGGAAAAAAAGGCTCCTGAGTATGTAGCATCTCTACACATGGATTTTAAAATAAAAAAATTGTAAATGTGCTCGATCTTTTTTCCATGCCACGACATGAGAAGGAACAAATAAGCGAATTAGCAAAATCTCTCTCCATATCTACCAAATAGGTGTGTGTTCATGCCTGTTAACCGCACAAGCTAGATCACTACAGCTTGTGCGTTGAACAGGCATGTGTTCATGCCATTAATTTGTTTCCCTCTCTTATCATACATCTGGAACGATTACTATGCTAAGCTGTCGGATATTGACAAAACAAAACAACGGTGAAAGGCACCTGGCGGTAGTACCTACTGTTGCTGTGCTACCTCCAACTATGAACAAAGTAGACAAAAAAAATTGAGCATTAGCAACGGCTGCAGAGCTATTGCGCCTCTCACTCGTCAGGTTCCAGTATCCTTCTTTTGGAAATCTTAGATGCCGCCCAAAGAACGAAACGTAATAAAAGGGGAAAAAGAAAATCAAAGCCACCCCATTAAGCCGAGCTCAACACCAACCACCACTCGATGCAATTTATTTCCAGCATGGTACTCATTACGTGAAATGTTGCGCATTAAACTATCCGTGTACTAAAACGGCCATCTCTTTTCACGGATTCTGCTTCACATATATCTTCTCTTCTCACACATTCTAATACACGGGCACCCCTATATATCTTATCGTCACTTCTTTCCATGTGATACAATTCTACACTTGACTCAATGTATATATGATAAGAGAATAAGATGAATAGTTCCAAGTAGATGATAGAAACAGTTATTTGAAGTATAGCCCGGTAAAATAAATTTAGGCTCAACACATTCAAGGCAAGATGTGTTGACTTTTTTCTTTTGAGGAGGGGAAAATGCAGACTTAGGATTGGAAGGCATCGGAAAGATATAACGTCCAAGAGTCGTATTAGGATGAGTAAGATCCACCACCAAAGGCCCGATTGCAAGCCTTGGTCACCCATGAGCGTCGCTGTGTCAATGATGAACACCAAGATCTAGAAGGGTCGACATTAAGAACCAATGAGTGAGCCGCAAGAGTTGGGTTCAGGTGTGTGTAGTCTATGAACCATGGGTCCCACTTGTAAGTGTAAGACCCATGAGCGTCGCTGTGTCAATGATGAACACCAAGATCTAGAAGGGTCGACATTAAGAACCAATGAGTGAGCCGCAAGAGTTGGGTTCAGGTGTGTGTAGTCTATGAACCATGGGTCCCACTTGTAAGTGTAAGAGTGTGGGTTTAAAAGAGGCTGGATGCCATAGAAAATGAGATTTATGTGAACTCTCACCTACCCTCTCTGTATCCCATCCTTCCTTTTTTGTTCCTCCCCTTCTCCAATCCAAGTTACATTCCAATCTATGATTTCCCTTCGTTCTACTAGCGGGCCATCACACCGATCTAGGATTTTCACCACCATTAACAGGTTCTAACAAACTCTAAATAACACCAACCACCAAACTTATGTATTGAGTGATTCCACCCCAGTTGCTGAGAGTGCACCACCATGCTGATCTGCACAACCACATGTATGTTGGTTGCAACACATTTACGCTCACGTGAAGAACTTGTATGCTTGTAACAAACACATTAATTTACCTACGTGTCGATTCCTCAACTACAAATGGTATCAGTGCTACAAAGCAGTCCACAACGCAACATCTTGGCAACTACCAACATTTGTTACTGTGTTAAGGCAACTAAAGCAAAACATCCACTGCAAAACGGTGGCAACTAAGCAAAATTCTCTGAACGACTAATAGTTAATCATAAGCGGAGAACTTTTAATTCCTCCCCCACTTGGTTGCGCGACGGCAAAGCATCCAGTATTCTCTAATGCCAATATGCATCCAGGGCAGTGGTGAAGACGGCAGATGCAGTGTTGTAGGTATCCTGATATAACAAAGAAGATGGTGTCACGAATGCCATAATAAGGAATAAACCTAAACAACGAGATAAGTAGCAACCTTGTGCCCCTGAGGATTCCATGTGCCAGTTGATTGCAGAAGGGGAGAGCGATCCCGTTGAAAACTTTCTGGTAATGTGGCCCGATTACTTGTCCTGCATTTAGCATCATTTATGTTAAAAAAAACTCAGCTGATAGAAATTGCAAGTGTTAGAAAAAATAACAACACAACAGGCCTGGCGCCCACACATGTTCAGAAGGAAATGATTACTAAAAGTGATTGAACAAAAAAATAGAATAGATAGTGCTAACTTCTATAGTAATACTACACCAACAAATAAGTAGGGTATGAGCATACGATAAAAATGTAGAGAGAGAGCTTACCAAGGGTGTTATAGTTACAGTTAAGTTCTGAAACTAGTGGTACTGAATGTACATGGATGGGTTCATCTGTTTCCCTTTCGCCAGATAAACTGGTTGAATGATATTCAACTGATAGAGCATCATCATCAGTAGATACAGATGATGATGACATAGGAAGGAACATTAATCCAGCAGGAAACCTTTGCCTCCTTGTCACCCATAGAATTACCGCAGCATAAGGAGTAGAGTGGATTATACAAATTGCAGTTTCCAACACTATACACAAACAGATGATTGTGCTGCTCAAGATAGAGAAAAATATGTAGAATATAGAAGCTGTGGGTAGAAGAAGCAAGACTGGTGTAAACAACAGTGAACCAACCACATGTTGTTCAACCGTGTAGTCATAGCTATCTAATCTCTGCCTAAGAGGATTCCACTTGCGCCCTCTGTTAATAATACAAGCACATATCAGTAAGTCTGCAAGAAATTTACAGCAAAAAAATCTAATGAAGAAACAAAAGAAATTGGGAGTTTAGTTTCCAATTGCCACACATTCATTTATATTTCCGCAACTGATTAATTCATCACATTAACTTTCATCAAAATAACAACAGCAATGAAGCAAGAAGATGAGAAACGAACATCATCAAAGTTTAAGATTGAGATGTTATCAGGATAATAATTAGCGCTTTTGTGTTGGCTAGGACTACTGGGGTCTCTAATCCCATTTGCTCCCCTAGCTTTCGTCTCTCAGTGTCGTCTCTAGAAGAGTTTTGCTCCCCAACATATTTCTAAATGCTAGATTTCCACCATAAGCTTAATCAACTTGCTATTAGCTTCTACTCCATCTACAAGGGACCTGGCTCCATAACTTGCTTCTAAACATAAGATATCTGACAATCCGACTACTGTAATAACTTACAACAAAATATGGTAATTGCAGATTATTAGTTAAGTAATTATCTGACACTAGTCATTCAACACCACAATCGAGTTTATGTTGCAAACAAGCTATTTTTATACTTAAAAAATGTCATATGAATGAAGGAAGCAGAATCGGTGCAGTGCATTCATGGTCACATGAACCCATCACTAAAATAGTACACATGCACAATTTTTAAAAAATAAGCAAAATATTCATAGTAAAATAACAGTTTCAGCATGTATACATGTAAAATTTGGTACAAAACCATGATGATGATGCCACTGTACAAAATACATAACTGTATGACTAATCTGTTGTGCTACAAGTGTGATTTGTTGTCTTCTGTGGACGATTCACATATATGACCATATTTTTGCAGAATTTTTACATGCACAACACATGTAGTTCTAGTGCCATGAATTCTTTTTGAGATTTCTTATATTGTAAAGTAATTAAACACAAAAACTTCATATGATCATAGGTGCATTTACCCATCAACATACCAACATTTTTACCTGAAAAGACGCCACAATGATGTCACTGTCTGAATCTGCCTTGAATATATTAAGGAGATTAACCACTGAAGCATGGTAACATGCAACGTCGCAAGCTGGATAATGTCAATGAAGATTGAAACAGGAACCGTGAAGCCTAAAAGAATTCCAGAAAATGCAAGGCCTTGAATTATATGCCTAAGGAAGCCTCCCACCATGAACCAAAGGGTAGAATATATTTGGATTGCATTCAGAGAAATCATGCCTAGAAGCTCTGCTAACTCAGTATTCAGTTTAAAGCCTGCTGGAACACCCATCAGCCACACACAACCAGATCTCAAGACAGCATCTGTCATGTAGTGAAGAAGAGCAAAAATCCAAGAGCAAATAGTCTCCATGTTCAACAATAGTGCTGCTCCAAGGATGAAACCCATCAGAAGATCCATGATAATATTTGACCATAAAGCATGCTTCTGGATTGCAGCTCTGTGTGCATATTCGACATTAACAGAGGAGCTGCATAGTATAAGCAGTAACATACTCAAATAATGTACCAAGGATAGCTCAATAAAAGCTTAGTTTTAACAATAATTCATTTTATCATTACTATTAACAGCTAATATATCTAATCTCAACTTTTAATATTGGGGAAGCACAAAGGTTCCTTACATCAAGGTTAAATGAATCAACAAACTGAAATTAAATACAGTCATCAGCTATCATAAAGCAAGGAAACCAAGTGAGTTTGGCAATACCATTTGACATCTCTAGAAAAGATAACTAGTCAATGGTAACTTAAGTTATAATGGTAGAATTAAGCAGCACCATAGGCATCCCAAGTTTACCTTAGGGACGTATCTTGGAGGAAAATCGGCCAATAAAGAATTTGGGAACAACGGAGATGCATGTTTTTCCATGAGTGTCTGAAAACCTTTTGTAATATAAAGTGCTCAGAGACATGGCTCAAACATTTTCGGAACAGTTGAATGAAGATGTAGATAATAGTCGATACTGAAGCTAAAATTATTCCTGTGAAATGTTGTACCACTTGAACTAAGGCATCAAACCTGAATAAACAACCAGCAGTCAGGACAAAGGAAGAAAAAGAAAACAGTGTCCATCAGAGAAAATAGATAAAAGATGATGCTTACACAGTTGCAAACAAGAAATGAGCCGCAGAACTGTTATTAGTAGTTTTCCAAGCAACTGACAATCTAGCTGAATTTGAACAATTAAGCGCCAACACAATCGGATCCTTCAAACATAAACATGGACCACATTATCTAGTTGTTCAAATTAAACTGTAATAACATGTAAAAGCATCAAGGCGCATACCAAATCAAGAAATGGTCTTCTCTTTTGCAGATTATTTATCCAATTTGGCTTTTTGAAGGGAGACTTCATCCTATAAGGTGCATCCTCACCCAGGGAGAAATGGTTTCTACCAGCAACAGGAATATCATAAAGTATGACCTACATTGAACAGTATTGAAGTAACTGATCACAGTAAAACAATTGAACAGCACTGAAGGAAATAAATTAAAATGATTCAAACTATGATTGCCACAAGGATGTCAGAAGTGAGAGTTGACTTACATACGTGGCAATGATTAATTTCAGCCTTCTGGTCATCAAGATACAAATGATGAAGCACTGGAATTTGATTCAGATTGCATTTCAAGCTCTTGTCAGGCTTACAGCAGAAGTGCACCCAGTCACCACCTTTCACTACTGACTTCTTGTAAGTATCCAGAAAACCGTCTAATACACTACAATCACATTCCCATTTTCCATTACTCTCACTTTGGTCTTGATCTTCAATTCCCAATGGTCCATTAAATGCAATAGAACAGTCTTGTTTTGTGTCAGAATGCTGTGTCTGAACAACTTGAGACCGCAACGGCTGATATTTTTGCTTAACACAGCAGCCTTCAAAATCTCTTGGAAGATGTACAACACAATCCCCAAGGATGGTAAATGCTGCAGATTCTTGTAGCACTGTTGGCATCCTTTTATTTGAGGAAAAGACAGCAGTCTACCAAGAGAGAAAACATTCAGCAATGCAGCCATCAATAAAAAAACTAAAAACAGTTATTCATAATCAAGCAATGGTCCTGGTATCAAACATGTGATGCGTACCCATAATGTATGTCTCCATTTTTTAGTATCTGAATGGAAGATTGCAGTAATCAAGGAACAGTCTTGGTATCAAAACATGTGACATTGCGATAAGAATCTAAGTAAAATATAAGATTAAAGGTTATAAAATAGCCCGCCACAAAAGGCTAATCAGTACTTGTAAAGGGAAAGCTATCATATTTTATAAATAGTATAGGGATGTGCAGAAAACATCCAGCATATTTGTCCTCAACATTTCCAAGTCAGCTGTTTGGAATAAAAAAATATTTGGTTCAAATATTCAGAGCCTTTCATCAGACATATAAAGTTCATTCAGGACGATGGAGGTGTTACAAGAAACACATTCAACCGCCTGACCATAACATGTATATGATCATTACCTCTTCATGGGTTGTTTAGTTTATGGAACACACATATACTACATTCAGCTAATGACGCCATCTACAGATTTCAAGGGATGGAAGAGGGTCATATTAAAATCTTTGTGAAACATCCCCAATTAACAAGTCCCGCTAATATCTTGCCTCTGGCACATGCAGGAAGATTTTATCACTTTAGTCCCCGAATGAGCTCATTCCGTTTTGCTAACCAGACACAAACTTGTTGGATTAGGTAATGCATTTCAACTAGTGAAAACACAAACCAGAAGGATCAGGTGACTCCAGGATAAGACCATCCCTGCAAAAAGTATCCCTTTGGTTCCTGAGGATTTTAACTCAGTAAACTCCTATACCGAAGTCTTAGCTGTTATAGAAGCATGTGTATACATCACTAGTTAATAAATAGCAATTCAAGGACTGGTTCAGCCTGCTTAACCATGAAGCAGCACACAGCTCCAGCATATTTTTTTAACTGGGAAGGGGCTTCAAATAAAGAAGCTATGTGTGTATCTCATTGACTCTAACAGTGTAACAGTGCAGCTAAAAGTCAACAATGTAACAAAATCAATTAATGCTTTACAACAAACAAACAAAATAGGTCTAGTTTGGTTGCCTACTACACTTCTGCCAAGCGCGGCATGCCATACACTTTTCTGCATCGTAGTTTATTATGCTACAATAAATGGGGAGAACCACCTAAAATTGTTTGCCTTCTTAAGTGACCCATTACACATTAAATTAGGTTAGTTCGCCCTAAAAGAACAAAGCTCTTCATAGAAATAAAAAATGAACCGCACTGGCCACTGTCACACGCTCCATATAAATGGAATAAGATAGCAAAGTACATTTAACAGCACCATTTATACTATTTGCTGCCATAACTGACCTGGAAGGTGTCGAGGTTGGGGAAAGACTGCAAGATCTCTCCCTGGGAGACGAACGCTGCGACAACAATATCGACTGATCCCGCATGGGGGAAGAGCCATCCGAACAGGAGATATCTGGTAGAGACGGACTCCAATTCAGACTGATGTTGCTGGCGCGGCCACCAGATCCTGCACCGGTCCATGCAGGAAAAGACTAAACGTGGGGCATAGGGAGTTCAGCTGGACCCAGAAGGCTCTGGAATTGCACCCGCACCACAGAATCGCAGGCACAAATTCCTATTTGCTCAACCGAGATTGATCTTCCGTGGCCTGCGCTGAAGAAGAACCGGATCAAACAATGTCTGGAATAGTTTAGTAGGGTATCATGTACTAGCAAATAACTGAATGGAGGTAAAAAAAATTCAAATTTGGTATCAAACACCCATCAGATGGGAGAATTGATGATTTGATGATATGCCCTTTGGTCCAATGTAATGGATCTTTTACCCTTTCCTTCATATGCAAACAGTTAAATTGCCATATCTCTCTTATTAATCAGTTTCTATCCAAAACAGCAAATACCCCTAAACGAATAGACCTCAGTACCACTATTCTGACATAGTAGAGAACTATTTGCAAGCAGACTCACTCTCCCACTTATGTATTCATCTGCCAACCACTCACAAGAATTAACAAATAAGTCAAGATTTTACAAGTTCAAGTCACAAATACCATAATATCTCACATGTTCGCATAAGAACCAAAACTGAAGGAGATCAGTGGCAGAACCAGAATTGGAGAAAATCCCAGGCATAACTAAACGCCTACAACGAAAGCATATAAAATACGGCTGGATTGTACAATAAGATACTAGTATGGAGATACAAAAGAGTATCAAATCTTTCATCTTCCATTTCTGCAGCATGAAACGAAACTGATAACAAAGCACATCAACTTGAGTAAATCCAACGCGTATGCGTAATTTCAATCCAACTGTTCATCGCACTATATGCATCCTTGATTTAGAACGGCATGCGTCAGTTTAT